AGATCCCGAGAGGAGAATGGAGGAGAAGGGATTGCGGCGTGGCCATCCCCCCCGGGGGGGGGGGATTTCTTGCCTTCTGTCTCTCTGTCTTTGTCTTTCTAGAGAGCTCACACACCTTATAACAAAAAATCTCTCTCTCAAAAAAAAAAAAAAAAAAGAAAGAAAGAAAGAAAAAGGAAGAAAGAAAGAGAGAAAGAAAGAGAGAAAGAAAGAGAGAGAGATGCCAGGTGAATGTGTGTCTGTGCCCAAAATCCCGAAAGGAGGGAGAGATGGAGGAGAAGGGATTGAGTGTGACCATTCCCCATGGTAGGTGCTTTCTCACTTTTCCTTTCTCTCTGGCTCTCTCCAGCTACCATAAGCACTCTGGCAAATTATGAATACAAACAACAACAAAACAGTGGAGAAGGGATTTAGACTTGCCTGGGGAGGCCATGGAAGGCTCATAGGAGGTAACAACTTTTGAACGGAGCCTTAAAGTATGAGTATGAGTTTGGGAAGCCCACATGGCTGACTGTGCAGTTCAAATCCCAGCCCCAGCAGATGCTTGAAAAACACGCCAGGCACGTATGTGTGTGGGTGCCAGTGAAATGGCATATGTGAAGGCGCACAGGCAGGAGAGCCCGGGGCATTCTCAGAGCTATGGGCATCCAGGATGGGGTGTGTGCAGGCAGGTCAGACCCAGGACAGAAAAATGGGAGCTGAGGCCCAGAGGTCATGGGATCCCCCAGCTTGGCAGGCTTTGAAGATCTTGAAAACCAAGCCAAGACCATGAACCCTCTGCTGACGGTGATGGGGAGCCATGGAACAGTCCCCCCCCCCAGAGATTTTTGCTGTAGGGCGCATGCACTCGCCAGAAAGACAGAAAGCAAGAAATCCCCCCCCCCGGGGGGATGGCCACGCTGCAGTCTCTTCTCCTCCATTCTCCTCTTGGGATGTTGGGTATGCACACACATGTGCCTGGCATGAGTTTAAGCCACCGGGTCTGGAACTCGAACCACTCAACTACATGGGAGTCCAGCCACATAGCCATTACGCCAACTGCTGGTCCCACCATGAAGGAGTTTAAGGCAGGAATGGCAGTGTCTAATTTGGATTAGGGAAAAGTTTTCAATTAGCAATAATTGCACCTTGGATAAACCTCATTGGCTACGATACTGCCACTGCGCAAAGCTGGCTCTAATTTGGATTATAAAAAGACACCTCTGGTGGCTATGTGGAGAACAGATTGGTTGGAGAAAGGGGAGGTAGGGAGGCCAGCTAGGAGGCTGTTGCCCAAGCAGGAGGCAGGAAGAGCAGAGTCTAGGGGGCCTGTGGATGGGGAGAAAGGGGGCAGACCTGCGCATCAGGACGTGGACTTGTCAGGACTCAGTGATGGCGAACAGGGCGCTCGCATATGCCTGCGCTGGGTGAGTAGGAGGGGCTGAGATGCTCCAACCTGACCGTGACCTCCTTGGAGGCCTGTCTGTCCTGCTCACCAAGGTATCTCTAGCATTTGGGGGCACAATGGCACATGGAAGGCACTCGGTAGATGTTAACAGCGTGAATGAACAAGCAATTGATGACGTGAGAATGACACAGAAGGAGGAGGAGGTGGAGGAAGACGAGTGCATGGACATGTCAGGGCTGACATGACCATGGGACATGGCTGCATCATGGCACATGGCTCCGGGGTGAGTGGAGATTGGAAGCCAGAAGCAGGAGGCAGAGCAGTAAAGCTGCAGGAGGAGAGGCTTGTTTTGGACAGAGGTGGGAGGGAGAAGAGGCAGCACGGGGCCCCTGGGAGCAGGAAGAGGAGCTAACCGAGAACCCAGGGGGAGAGTGGGAGGAGAAGAGAGATGTGTCAGGTGTCAGAGAAGGAGAGGCTTCCAGGGAGACGGTGCCCTTCTTGTGAAAAGGTGTGGGGCAGTAAGGACTGGCCACCACATGAAGATTGGGCCCGGGTGACCCTGAGGAGGAAGGGACAATCCAGAGGACGCAGGGATAGAAGTGCTGGGGTGAGGAGCAGAGGAGGCAGGTCTCAGCTGGGCAGGGCCCTGAGGGTGGGAGGTGGTCACCAGAACTGGAGGTTCAAGAGAGTGGGGTGGAAGGGATGGGGCGGAGAAGGCTGCTCCTCCCTCTGAGCTAAAGGCCAGATGGAAATAAATCAGATGGCAGTCGCCCGTGAGGTGAGGGGCTGGGGGCTGAGGAAGACCTCTCTTTGATTTGATGTCAAAGGCAAGGTCACCTGTAGGATGTGGTAGGGGTTCAGGGAGGAAGGTGAAAACTGGAATGTTCTGGGGAGGAACAGACAAATTTGGAGGGGAAGGAGCTTGTGGCTCTGAGCTTCTCTAGCAGCTCTTGGAAGTCAGCGTACAGAAATGGGGAAGGTGGGGGCCGGTCCCATGGTCTGGTGGATAAGGCAGCTGAATCCCACGTGGCTGGCCGACCATGAGGTTTAAACTCCCCACTGTCGGCTTGAAAAACCTGCTGGGCCTGTGTGTACGCAGGCCCCAAGCCCTGACAGGACCAAAGAGATGGAAAAGAAGTAATTGCGGTGTGACCGGACCCCATTTAGGGGCAGGAAGGTGCTTTCTCCCTTTCCCTCTTTTCCTCTATCTCTCTGGCTTACACAAAAAAGAAAGAAAGGGGGAAAAAAGGGAAAAGAAAGAAAGAAATGGAGAAGGTGGACGACAGAAAAATTCCAGGCAGTGTGGAAGGTGGATGGGAGTGCAAGAAAATCCATGAAACAGGCCAGAGGACAAAGGACATAGGGGTGCTCCGGGGTGCCCAACACGATGAGGAAGGGGTGATGCAGGAGGGCGGGTGCAGGTGTGGATGAGGCCGGGGAGCAGTGGAGGTGGGGGTGAGGGCTGGAAGAGCTGTGGGGGACAGGAGGCAGCACTCAGAGTGTGGACACAACGTTCTGAGTTCAGGCGGCAGTGCAGGCTCAGTCCTGCAGGTGCTGGCCAGTGATGTGGGAGAAGGGGAGACTCTGAGAGGCCGAGGGTGCAGGTGGTAGGCTGTCTGCGTGGACAGCAAGTCAACCGGTGAGGGAAGGCTTAGGAGGAAGGCCAGCACTGGCCCAGGTGCAAGGCCTCCAATGACCTTGGGAGCAGGGTGAGTGGGAGAAAAGGCGACTTTGATGGAGAGGCGACTGGATGGTGGACACTTGGACCGAGGGAAGAGGTACTTTCTCCCAGCAGTGCGGCAGGGGAGGGAAGGGTGATGATCCAGAAATGCCCCTGGAGCAAGAAGGATCGTGGGTAGCTCTCTGGACTGGAGTGGGGCTTCAGGAGAGGACACCAGACCAGTCCAGGAGAGGCAGGAGGCAAGGGGTAGCAGAGGGTTGGGGCCAGACAGCTGGTCTCTACTGCTGCCCTGCAATGCGTAACCTGGAGCTCAGTTTCCTTGTCTGCAAAGGAACAGCGCCTCCGCGGTACACAACTACGTCGAGTGCTGCTCGACGTGGGGTTAGTAAATGGTGTGGTGGCTGTTAACCAGGTGGAGCCTGCATCCGGCCTGCGGTGCAGGGTCAGGGCAGGAAGGGGCAGCCCTCCGGAAGTTGGTTTATGACTCAGGGTGGGCCCATGGCTTACAGGCTAACAGAGCGCTGGGGCTCCCTGAGGTTGGTCTCAGGAGCCTTCCCAGGAGGGCCAGCTGGGCTTCCCCGTGCCCCCATGAGACGCCCTGTGTTTCAGTGCTTCATCAAGATCAGTGCTGCCTACGGCTCCACCAAGGACATCTCTGTCTACAGCGTGCTGGGTCTACCCGCCTCCCAGATCTTCATTGTGGGCCGGCCCACCAAGAAGTACCAAGCCCAGTGCCAGGTGAACACAGACTGGGCTGGGCGCTGAGAAGGCAAGGTCGGGGGAATGACTGGGCAGGGAAGTAGGCCGATCACTCATCCATTCATTCCTTCATTTGCGCATTCATTCATTCTACAAGTACTGGTGGCTGTCTGCCTCAGGCCCTGTGTTGAGTACAGGAGAAATCCCGAGCAAAGTCAGATGCAACGTCATCCAGTCTAGCGGGGGAGATGGGAAAACGTGCAGATAATGACAGGTAGTAACTGGGGACCCTAGAGAGGAACAGCTAACCCAGACTCTGGAGCACAGTCTACTTGCAGGAGTTTGAAGAAATTGTCCAGGAAGGGCCTGACACTGGGAACAGCATATGCCGCAGAGAACATGTGTATTCCGGGGGCTGCCAGTGACGCAGCCTGGCTGTGCGTGGTATGAGTGGGGAGGGGAGAGGGGCCTCCTGGCTGGCCTGTGTGCTTGCTGGGTTTGGGTGCTGTCCTCTGGGTCGCTGGAGTGAGTGATGGTGAGCAGGTTCGTGGTTCCAAAAGGCCCCTTAGGCTGCAGGTGGAAGGCGGTCAAAGGAATGGAATGCAAGCTGAGAGGGAATCAGAGAGAAAGTGGAGGGTCCGAGGGGAATTTCTGAGGTAGGAAGGACTGGGTTCGGTAATGAACAGATCAGACGTGAAGGATGAAGGAAAGGGGAGAAAAGCCAAGCGTGGTGTCCGTGTTTCCGGCTTGGGAGGCCAGGTAGGAGGGCACTGCTGGGACTGAGAAGCTGGCTGAAGGGACAGCTTGAAGGAGAGAGATGATCTCCCTTCGGGGCAGGTGCAGTGGAAGGTGCTAGAATGACCAACAGCTGGAGGGTCTGGAGATGCTGGGATCTCAGAGGAATTTGAGAGCCTTGCTTCTCAAATTAGAATGTGTGCTCGCCTCACCTGGGGATCTTGTTGAAAGACAGCTTCCGGTTGGGTAGGCCAGAGGGTCTGCCTAAGGAGACCTGGTGATGCTGTTTTTGCCGGCCCATGGACGACACTGTGCGAGACATGGCTCTGAGGACATAGTGGGGAGAATTGTTAGGAAGGGCAGCTATGGGGGCCCCCAAATGACAGAGTTACATGGGGGAGGGGCGGGACTATGGTGGAGACTTACATTATGAGAGTGACAAGGAAGAGTGCTTCACCCGCTGCGAGCACCCTGAGATGGGGGGTGTGACCCCCGGTGCTCAAGTTGTTCAGAGGGATTTTGACCCTGAAATGGTGATGAGCTCCCAGTTTTCCCAGGGGCTCTGCAGAGAAGCTGGAGACACCCTGGTAGGATGTTCTAGGGGAACAGTGATATGGGGGGGGGCAGGATCTGGCTCAGGGGCCTGCCCTACTGGCCTGACGCCTGTCCCCTCCGCAGTTCCTGAGCGAGGGCTACGCTGCACACCTGGCGGCGCTGGAGGCTGGCCACCGCTCGCGCCCGAAGAAGAACAACTCGCGCATGATCCTGCGGAAGGGCAGCTTCGGGCTGCACGCGCAGCCTGAGTTCCTGCGGAAGCGCAACCACCTGCGCAGGACCCTGTCGGTGCAGCAGCCCGACCCGCCGGCTGCCAACCCCAAGCCCGAGCGCGCACAGAGCCAGCCCGAGTCCGACAAAGACCACGAGCGGCCGCTGCCGGCGCTCAGCTGGGCGCGTGGGCCCCCCAAGTTCGAGTCGGTGCCCTGAGGGGCTGCTTGTGCTCAGAGGAGGGGACCCCAGCCAGGCTGCCTGCCGGACGGGAGGGGACTGCCTTCTCCCGGACACAGGCATTTTCCTGCTTTTTCCCTCCCGTGTGTCTGTCCAGCAGTGTCCGACTAGAGTGGGGAGGGACCCTGCCCGGCCTTGTGGGCTCTCAGGGTTGCGATGGGGTGAGATCTGGGGGTCTCCGTGCAGCTGCTGCTGCCTCCCCGATGCCTGTGACCAAAAGCTGGAGTCAGGGTTGAATGTTTGCGTAGTCCTGGGGCAGGTCTATCGGAACCGGAGTATTGGGGAGAAGCTGACCACCTTTGAGGTTTCCCCATCTTCCACAGAGACGCTAGGCAGGTCCTGAGGGGTGTGGCCCCTGCTCTGGGACCAATAGCCAGTGGCAGGTAGGTTCAGCTTCTTGGCTGTCTTTGTGGAGGAGTGAATGGCATTCGTGCCCAACCTCCCTGTGACGTTCCGGTCACCATTTTCAGACTGGCTCTCATAAGGTGAAGTGGCCACTTTCTGCGACCGAGAGGCCGTCCCCGGGCGTCCTCACTTATGTCATCTGTCCACAGCCCTTGGGGGTGGGGTCTGGTGCTGACCATTGTCCCTGTCCCCCCATCTTGTCCTCACCATTTTCCCGTGGCCCTGGAGGACAGGCGTTTCTCTTCCCAGAGCGCTGCCTGATGTCGTCCCTGCGAGGCTGCGGCCTGGGCCCTGGCCCCACTGGGCAGGCTGGGAGCCTGTAGCTCAGCCTCCCTGGGCCCAGCCTGCCTTCTGTAAGTGGAGGTGTCCTTCCAGCGGAGCCTGGTGTGCATTTTCAGCTCCCAGGCTGTCCTGCGTTTCGGCCCTCAGAGGCTTTTCAGGCCTGAGGTCCCCTCAGAGTGCCCAATGGGCTCTACTTCCTTACGGCCTGGGAGAGCGGCGTGGTGTGGGCTGGGCAGAGGGGCCCTTGTCCCGTCTCCAAGGAAGCCCATGGGAGGGGCTCGGAAGGGATTCCTATGCCTTGGGAGCCCTGGCAGGTGTGCCATGCGCTGGGCCCAAGCCAGGTGTCTAGGAATAGAACCCCGTCCCTGACCAAAGGGCATCAACCTGGTTCCCCGCGCTCGCAGCTCTGCTCTGCAGGCTGATCTCCCCATTTTGGCTCCCGGAAGACCTAGAACTGAGATCCCAGGGTTCTGGGGGGCTCGTGGAGTTTTGGCTCAAACTGTTGTATTCTCAGCCCTCGCCCACCCTCCCAGCACTTAGCTTGGTTTGTGCCCATACCTCCTCCTAAGTGGTCCCCTGAGGTGGGCAGGGCTTGGCTCCCTGGGGAGCCTGCCTGAACCCTCCTGCTGCTGAGCCCTGGCCTGGGCCTTGGTCTCCTGGGCCACTTTTCTGCCCAGGCCTGCACCTGCCCAGTGGGACTGCCTGGGGTCACCTCTGAGCCCCTGTAGGCTACCATGAGGCTGCCCCAGGGCTCAGATGCCTGTCTACACAGCAGGCACCAGTGTCAGCTCCATGTCGCTTCTGCTCAATGTCTACCTCTCACGGCTCCCACGCAGCCGGCAGCAGCTGCCAGTGGGGGCAGCAGGCCCCGCCCCCAT